GCCTAAATCAGTGTTTTCTTTTCTACTCCCCCTCAGCATTTCTTCTCCTTGTTCTGTCAGCTATCCTAGCTCCACCCTCTTTACTTGTCTACGGTTGTTGGGTTTTCGTTTTAGTTCTTTAGTTTTCGTTTGGTTTTTGTTTGTTTGTGTTATTTTCATGTGTTATGACTGTTTGTTTCTCCTGTTTGTCTGTTTTCCTTTCTGCGGGCTAATCTCAAGGGAACAAATACAAAGCACACCTGGTGGAGGGTAAAATATCACTATGAGAGGGTAATAAAATACCAAAGTCACCAACAACAGAGAGCAGTAACTGATCGAAAAAACTCACTCGAAGGGCTGAGCTCTCGGACGTGTATGACCCTTTCTCAATATAGCAGTGCTCACAGGTGCAGAGTACATCACAAACTTTAAAGCAGACTTAAGGGACAGAAAAAACTAGACAAAATGATGAAACAGAAGAATTCTCCTCAAAAGAAATTCAGGAAGTGACAGCTAGCGGAATTGATCCAAAGCATAGCAACACGACAACGAATTTAGAATAATAGTCTAAAAGTGTAATCCGGGCTTGAAAAAAGCACAGAGGACAGGCAGAAGGAGATCTTATTGCGTACAGAGATCAAGGGACTAAAAAATAGTTCTGATGAATTTAAAAATGATATAAATGAGGTGCAAAATAAATGGAGACCTGCAGATTGAAGAGACAGAGAGAATAGGTGAATTGAAGATGACAAAAAATTGATGGAGTAGAATATTGAGTAGAGAAAAATTTAAAAAAATCCAGGAGTGTGAATGAGGGGAGGAATAGAGAACTAAGTGATGGAATCAAACAGGAGAACAATATCTGTACAGATAGGAATTCTAGAAGAAGAAGAGAAGAAAGGCTGAAGGGTGTATTCTGAACAAATCACCAGCTGAGTAGGAATTCTGATCTGGGAAGGAAATGAGCATTGAGGAAACTGAGGCACAGAAGAACTCCTTTGAGACATAACTTGAATCTGATCTTCTGAGGACATATCATATAAAACTGCTAAAAATGCAAGGATAAAGAGAGAATTTGAAAGAAGCAGAAAAAAATGGGCTAACGCATAAATTAGGTAGACACAAGGAGTAGTTAACAGAACTATCTATCTGAAACTTGGCAGGCCAGAAAGGAATGAGAAATCTTCAATGTGATAAACAAAAAAAATAAATCAGCCAAGAATCCTTTGCCTAAAAGTCCGCGTTCAGAATAGGGAGAGATAAAGAGTTTTCCCTAAACAAACAAAACATGAAGAGATTCATCATCATCACTAAAAACCCCCCTACAAAGAAATCCTGGAAGGGGCAAATCTGTCAGACTAAAATATAAAATGCTGACCACAAAGGACCAAGCACCACTACAAGGCATGAAAAATCACAGAAATCACAATGACTCTAAACACATATTCTTTCAATAATAACACCCTCGATTGAAATGGACGTGCATGCTCCAATCAAAAGCCAGATTACAGAATGGATAAAAAAAAAAAAACAAGACCACCCATCTATTTGCTGATTAGAGACTCATTTCAGGACAACTGAGGACACCTTGATTGAGTGCAGGGGGAGAGAAACTTGTCATCATGCTAATGTGGAAGTCAAAGTAAACTGGGTAAGCCATCCTCAGACAACTGTAGAATTAAAGGCTGTAAAAGAGGCGAAGAAGGGCATTATATAATAATTACAGGATTAATCCTCAGGAAGAGCTAGCAATTATAAATACCTATGATCAAAATTCAGGCTCTCCAAAATACAAAACAATTCATCACAAACATAACAACTATTGAAAAATATGTTAATTGCAGAGAACCTAATACTCACTTACAATAATGGATAGGAGACATTCCTAGACAGAGAATAAGAGAAGGCAAGGGCCTCAAATGATATATTGGCATGATGGACTTCGATTACTATTAGGAACTCGACATCCCCAAAGAGAATGCTTTGATTTGTTCCTTGGAGTAGCCCCGTAAAGGAAAACAGACAAACAGGAGACAAAAACACGCAAACACATGAATAACACAAACAAACAAATAAACACAAACGAAAAACTAAAGACTAAAAACGAAAAACCCAAAAACACCGACTACAAGTAAAGAGGGTGGAGGCGGTGCTGATGGAAGAGCACATACAAGGAGAGAAATGCATGGAGGGGGGTAGAAAAAATAAACACTGATTTAGGCAGAGAGACTAAAAGACTTAATCCAGAGAGAGAGAAAGGAAATTAAAGAAGGAGGCGGGGAAAAATGAAAGGAAGATAAAGTTACCCAGACAGAGAAACTCTATGGCTTGATTATTCCAGAGAGAAAGGAGTGTAAAGAAGGAGGTGTAGAACATGTTATCAAGACGATGGATTAAATATGTCTGTTTAGAGAGACCAATAACCAGAGTAACCAGCCTAGGGGAGGGAAGAGATAAGGAGGAGAAAGGGGGAGTAGAATATATTTATATATCCAGAGTTGACCTAGAGTTAATCCAGGCAATGCTGCACCGCTTGTTGGGAGTAGCTGTCTGCCGGGTCTGGGCCCATCTGGTGGCTACGCAGTTACCCAGTGCAAGGGGGCGTGGTTTGGCGTAATGTGGACCCACCTCCACTATGGGCGGGGGAGTGATCCCTGAGGCCCCGCCTTGATTGGGGGCGGGGGGATGGTGATCCCTCAGTCTCTTCTCCACGGAGCCCACCTGCTGGACTCAGTTTGAGTCGTCCTCACTCTGTG